TGCAATATTGTAGTCTTGAAAGTATTTTTCTTTAGTTTGATTGAGTTGTTCAATTTGCTGTTCAAATGTCAGAATATTCTTTTCTTCTAGTTGTTGATTATCATTTGTAATTATTTCAATTAATTCCTTTAGGTTATTATAAGTCAAACACTGTCCTACTTGGTAAAGTAGTTGTCTTATATAAGGGTGAAATTGTATTTCGTAAAATTGGTATAATGAGATAGTTTCTCGTATGAAGTTAAATATTCTTCTAATATCTTTTCTTCAATTATATCATTGAGATATTTTGATTCAATTATCATATTGATTATTGATATTACTGCTAGTTTAAATAGATATATCTGTTGAGGTATTCTATCGTATTCGTATATTATTCCTTTTTTCTTAGAAGGTGATTGCATTTACAATTGGTTTTCTGTCTTTAATCATTCAAGGTATTTTTTAAATAGTTCTTGTTGTATATTATCAGTTATTTGTTGAGCTTTTTTTTTTACTCGTTAAATGTATTGTTGGTGATAGTTTAGGTCTAGTTTATATCCAGGTTTAGGATCTCTTTTCTTGTGCTGTTTATATTCACAAGGTAGTTTTCTTTCGATATAGTTGTCACAATCATTGATGTTTGTTGATAGTACTTTGGTACACTTTTATTTATGGTTATGGTACTCTATACAGGCATGCTTGGAGTATGGTGTGGTGTGTATTCTTTTACTTGTTGTGGTGTACTGGGGTATCCACTTTCTTCATCAGAAGTATCTTGTAGATTATCAAGTATTTCATATAATTTATCGAAGTTGTGTTGTTCTTTGAGTGATTCAAAGATTAACTTCGCTTCTTCAATTGTATGTAATAAGTTTATTTTTGCGTCAAATATTTTTCTGAGTACTTTAGTTTTATCTGATATACGATAGTTTCTTTTACAGATTTTATTGCTAAGTTTACAAAATGAGCAGGGTATTTTATTGTCACAAGGTAGATCTTTAGCTTTGCAATATTTGCAAATTATAAATCTTTCTTGTGTTTTAGGAATTTGTTTTTTATAGTCAATGTGTTTGGGCATGTTTGAGCTTTGGTCAAAATCATGTCCTTTATGTAAGTTTTCTGTTACTTTTTGTAATACTTTGTTATTTATAATTCTTTTTCAATTATTTATATGATTAATAATACATTTGATATAATGATTAGTATAAATATTTATACAATTACAATGATAAGTTGGGTAAATTATAAATTGGCATTATTTGGCACCTTGTTTACTACTTTATTTTTCAGGGTGTTTTTCATTTTTCAGAGTAAATTATTTCCGAGTTTACTAAGGTATTCTTTATGTAATTTATCAAATTTTTTTTCAGGATATTCTTGTCCTAATATTACAAATTCTGCTACAGCTTGGTTTCTTCAAGTTGTTATTTGTCTAAGT